AATTTTTTATAGTTAGGTACTAGGTAGTAGGTACTATAAACTTCGCCCCCGGTTTCGCTTTTGTAAAGAATTATAAATAAATATTTTTGCGCCCTTTTTATCGAAAATACATTATTTATATTGGGGGAATTATAAGAACCCAATAAATATTTTTGCGCCCTTTTCTCGAATTTCCATTACTTACTTACTTAATTTCCATTACTTATTGGGGTCACAGTTATAGCTGAGTCTTAAAGGTTTTTTTTATATAGGACTGGATTTCTGTAGGTATTTTATAATGACCTACTGCCCGTAGAAGCAGAAGGGTTTCTTTAGACACCACTAGTGCAAACCTTACGGTGCGGTGAAGCGACGGTGCAACCATCGTGATACGTTCGAAATTGCCAATCTGCCTTAAACAGGCTTGGTGATTAAGTATTGCTCCCCTCTCCGTGTTTTTGATTAAGGAACATACCCAATTAGGAACTATGGATGACTACATGGCACCTGCCAATACAATACAATGTAATTATTACACATAAAAAGGGCAGGCGGAGGCTTGCCAACTCACAGACCCCCCACTGGGCCCGCGGGAATGGTTACTAGATATAGCAACGGAGGGTCAACGGACATATGATTAGCTGAAGGTCGAAGAAACTACCACCAGCTTTCATCATCTGCATCTGCATCACTGGCCCACTCTCCATTTACGAATACGAAGTATCTTACCCTCCGAGGAGGGTTGCTAAGTTTTTTTATAAGAAATAAAGTATATATCTGATTTCAAAGGACGTAAATATATAGTACAAACTTACAAAAAAGAGTATCAACTGTCATTTATTTTGTGCTTTTAAAAAGCTTTTTTTGTTTTTTTTGAACGTTTATCAATATTTTTCTTTTAAAATAAAAACATCAGTCTAATCATTAGGTAGGTAGGCTAGGTAATCACTAGTTAGCCTATACTCCTATAGCTCAATTAGATAGGTTATTGTACAATATCTATACCAAATTTCATTCAATTCGGTCCAGTACTTTTCTTAGCAGAGTGGTACCTATTGTGTCAAAAATTTAAATATCGGATTAGTTTTAAAAAAGTTGCTATCAAACGCTGAATTTAAGTACTTATTTTTAAATGATCACCTATGTATAATGACACGACATATGTATAACACTTAGTTAGATATGTCGTGGTGGGCCGGAGGTTAAAGCTTCTCATGCATGATGGTGCTGGTTCGAAACCTACCAACGGCAAGTACCAATGTGACTTTTTCCGAGTTATATGTACCTTCTAAGATTATATAGACACCACTGACAAACGGTGAAGGAAAACATCGTGAGGAAACCTGGACTTATAATTTCTAATTATAAGTTTGAAATCGCCAACCCGCATTGAGCAAGCGTGGTGATTAATGCTTAAACCTTCTCCGTGTAAGAAGAGACTGCTCAGCAGTGGGCGCTTATAAGCTGTTGATAATGATGATGAAGTATGTATTAACATTAAATAGTTAAGTAAACATAGTTAGGAAAAACCTACATTTATTTAGTAAAGTGTCTGACAGACACAATTATGAAACTAGACATAAGAATAGATTAAGTCCGCCGTTTTTTAGATTGTCAAAAGTACATAGGTAAGTCGTTCATGGAAATCGGTGTTAAATGTTATAACAAAATCCTCCAAGAAATACTGCATCTAAATGAAAGAAAATTTAAACTATGTATTAAAAAAACGTTATGTACACAAGCATACTACAAACTAAATGATTATATAGAGGATAAAAGTGCTTGGAAGCAGGCTGGTCCGGCTCCGCAGGATAATACATGAAACATAGTGATGTTCAATGAATTCTATTTGTGTAATAATATAATCATGTTGCTTAAATATTTGTATAGTTTAAAACGTTGCACAATTTATTTTAAATGTGAGAGCCCTGTAATTAATTAAATCAAATTAGACTAGTAGATTGCATTTATGTCAGCTTGGAGTTATCATGCTCACTCAAAGATCTCGTTGGCGGTGGCACGTGCATTAGATCGCTCGATTCCCTACAAAACGGTTGAGTTGGGCGGTGCTAGGGTTCGCCAAATGTTCGTGAACGGGCACCGTCGATTGGAACTGGTCAGCTCCAGACTGTATCATTTTATTTTATTATCCTCAAGGTTATTTTCTTTTTCAGTCTTTCTGACTGGATTTAGGTGTTGCATTGTTCTCACATAATCGAACCAATAAAACTATGTAACTAGAGAATTGTATTGTAAACCTGATTGAAAAAGAGTAACCTATGGAGTTTCTTGCTCGTTCTTCTCCATAGGAATCTACGCCTTGGAATGAGCAACTAGCTTCACTTATAAATTTTTGTTGTTTGACGTTCAAAAGTGCCATCCTGGTCTAATTGAAATAAATGATTTTGACTTTGACTTTGACTTTGACTTTGA